TTGGTTTTATAGAAATGTTGAATCTAAAGGGCCAAAAGGGAATCTGAACTCAAAGCTTAATGTGTTACAAATCCAAGAGCTGAAGTGACTTAGCCAGTGCTGCCAACAAACAGTGATCCAAACAGGACTTTAGCCCTGGTGTCCTGGGCACCAGTCTGATCTCCCCGTGCCCTGCTTCCTACACTGTAGGATCCACGAGTGCCTGGACCTAGCCTAGTTCAGCAGTCACTACACATCTGGCTTTGAGCGCAGTGTCTGACACACCCAGAGAGGGGAAAAGGGAGAAGAAATCTTTAATGGTTGATTCCCAAACCTAACACAGAATTGTCTGAAATATTTTAACTTATATATTTAGAAAAGGGATCATGGCAGAGAAAAACAAAAAAAGACAGAAACCCAGCAGACACATGAGGAGCAGTGTGGAGTCTGCAGAGAAGAGCTAAGGATGTTTAGAACATATGGATATGAGACAGAGCAGCAAGTTCCCACCTTCCCCCTGCTAGAGTGCGGAGCATAGACACCTCGCAGAGCTGTCTGCTCAGCTCTGATCCTCCCTCCTTCCAGGACGCTCTTTGTATACCCTGAAGCATTAGCTCTGAAGGCAACTTGGACAGAGACAGGTTTGAATGTGTCTTCTGCACCCCTCTAAAGGTCACCTGGAGCCAAGCTTATGTGGAATTCCACTGCAGGGTGTGAAAGGAAGTGATGCAGGAGGAAGCTCCTGAGGACCCCAAGGTCCTCCAAAGTCACTGCTCTGCCAACCCTGCCCCTGGTGCTATGACTGACACTATCCCTTTCTCCATCCTTGTTCCATGTATGTATGGAGTAAAGAATCTCTTATACCCCACCATGATCCCCACTCAGACAGTCCATCCAGTTAAATATCAATGTGCTTCAAATATATATTTTCTGATTCAGAATCACCCCATCTTTCCTTCCACAACACGCCAACTGCATATTTTAAACGTCAAAAGCAAAATTTCTGAACCCTAAATGAACACCGCACATTTTTACTTCTCCTACTCCCTAAATTTATTTGTAATCCCCCCTAAACTAAAATTCTTAACATTTCATAGTCACTCACAGACAGGTACACAGAGGTAAGAACTGGAGTTGTTGGACAGTTGTAAATGTTCCCAGCAAGTAGAACAAGGCAATGCTCTTTGGAGACATCACTAGTCTTTGTTATATCCTTGTGCAGCATTTGTGAGTTTGCCTACTTGATAAAATGTATCTGTGATCCCCAAATTAAGAGTCCATTGCTTTCTCAGCTCTTTGAGACTGAGCTACAAAACACCTGAGTCTCCTGTTCAACTCACCTTCTAGCTGTCAGTGAAGAAGGCCACATTCTGCCTTCCTGTTTCAGCTGTAATACAATAAACAAATACCTTTTCGTAGCCTATTCAGTTTCTCTCCCATTTTTGCGCTTTGTGTTGGAGATTACACTTTCAGAAACTTTGAAATGCTTCAAGTTTAGTGCTGCCAATCATCTCATGCTCCTCACATGAAGATTGGGATGCAGGGCTGGCCACATAGCTCAGCAGACTAAATCACCTGCTTAGGCAAGCTCAGGGACCAGGTTTCCATCCCCAGGACACTGTGCCAGTCCCGCCCCCAGGGCACACTGAGACAGTGATTGAGACTGGGCGTGGTGTCACACACCTGTAATCCCAGCGCTTGGGAGGTTGCAAACAGGAAGATCACTACAAGTCCGATCTGTGTGGTGAGACCCTATAGACCCTGCACTAAATATGTAAAAAATAAAAATTTTTAAAAACAAGATTGAGATGTGCCTTCATGCAATGTGCAAGTTTTGTTCAGACATGAGCTATATGGTGCTATTGGCAGGGATTTCAATGTTAACAAATCAACAATATGTATCGAATAAGATATCTTTAAACAAAAGCATCCATTAAATGAGGTTTGGGACCAACAGGTTGATGAAAAGGCTGTGACCAGAGGTTCAAAGGAACCTAATCCTGCACTTCTGCTAGGAATAATAGTTTACTATGCTCTAATTCAGTAACTGAGGCAAATGTCGAGAAATAACTACAACAAATAATGAGACTCAACTATAATTATTTGTTTAGCCCTCCTTAAATTTCTATGTGAATCCACAAGCCCATGTAATAGTCCAGAAACTTGAGAAGTATCTGTATTGTTTAGGACATGATGACAAAAAAATATGTACATGTTTAGAACAAAGGCAATCTTTCGAAATATTTTCAGTCCAAGGTTAAAATTGAAAGAACCACCTTCCAAAGTCCCAACTAAATTGTCAGCTATTATTAATCTATTTTGTATTAATCTAAAAAAAATGCTAGAGAATTAATTGCCTGAGGATACTGAAAGATAAGGTTGGAGGTGGAGATAAAATAGGAACAAGTTGAGGGGATTGAAGTGCAAAGATGAGGGTGGAGAACTGAAAGGAACAAGCATGCGCTGACTCTAAGAGGGATTCTGAGAGGGCTCTGTTGGGTCACCTCCTGGCAAAGGAAGAGAAGTGCATAGACAGAGGCTCTGAAACAGGGCCGTTCTGGAACATGAGGCTAGGGATGCAGAAAGGAGCAGTACAAAAAGGAAGTGTGCCTGTTAGGGAGGAGACCAAGGGGGACTGGCTCAGGTAGGGCACACAGAGCGAGAGTTGGTGGCCAGAGTGGGCAAGAAAGACTTCAACCAGATCACACATGGGGACCAGGGCCTGGGGGCGGGTGCTCCCAATGTGGGCTCACTGGGGAAAGCTTAGTGTGGTGCAGGAACATGTGACAGAGAGTGTCTGATATAACCTGAGGAAAGGAGGGTCTGTGTGACATTTAGCCCATTGTACTTGGCTTGTTCCGCCAAAGAATAGTCACCCTGATAAAGACCCGTCATGTGTTCATGCCCATCTTTAGAGTTGACTTTCCATGAACCACAGGAAGCTCAGTACTCAGGACCTGCAGTGCTGTTCGGGGTCCATGACAGTGTTGGCACCTTCATTGCTTTTGAAGTCAGAAAGAAAATAGACATAATAAATGACAAATAGGAAAAAATAAATACAACCTGACTGGATTATACTCATGCTATCCTGACATGCCATAAAGTAGGACTCCCAAGATTTTTATAGAAGAAGGGGTGCATGAGGGCAGAACCACCCACCCGATAAGGCTCATCAGGGACTGACTGTTCTTTATGCAACATCAAAGATCACCCAAACACTCCAGCATCCACATTTCTGTCATCTCCCAAGCTCTTCTTCACCTTCAGCCTGTATATAATCTAATCTGTTGATGGTGCTTTAAGATATTTAAAGAATGGCAGTATCAATTTCCCCTGTGTTTTAAGCTCTTAAATCGTATGTTTAAAGGAAAGAAATGTTCGTGCTGGGTTCTGTAACCCATACATCCATCTCTATGAAATATTAAGATCAATTAAGAACAGCTCCCATCTCTGAGATATTTTAAATGATTAAAACAGAAAAAGAGTTATTTCTTCCTCCTGTTTTGTACTAATCACAGTTCCTTGGGGTTTATAAATACACTTTATCAAATCCCTCTGCGCAAGAAGTCCTGAGTATTTGTCCCCCCCCCCACCAACCCTGCACCATGAGAGAACGAATAAATGAATATCTAACAGGGCCCACACAATACCCACGAGATAATCGGCATTCTGAAAGTGTCTGAAGATATCATGTATGATAGACACCAGAGAGTGACCCTGTGCATATTACTCCCAAATTGCTGGCTGGCAGAAAAGGCTGAGCAACACAAACAGCTCGAAAAGGGACACAGCGATAAATTTAGAAAACAGGGTCAGAGTGATTAGTAGACGTCAGAACTGATAGATTTTGGTCCCTTCTGATTTATGCAGGCCACTGTTTGTGATTTCCTTTGTTTCCAATCCCTACCCATTCAGGCTCTAGTTAGTCACTACAAATGGCCTCACTATTTACTAAAGACTGGAGTGTCAGTTGTTGAAGGAAGAAGGGATAGAGGACCTGTCCAACACCAGAAGCCCAGTCCCCAACCCCTTGGGGTTCCAGCCACCTGGGAGGAGGGAAGCGGTTAAAAGCTGCCAAAATTGATCTCCAAAGGAGCTTCTGCAAGGCCAGCTTGCAATCACAAGAGGCCACCGCAGGAGCCTCCCAGTGATAGCCACACTGAAATTCACTGAATGCAGGAGGAGCTCTAGCAAGGCTGTGAGGATGGCCTGGTAAGCAAGGTCTGCCTTAATAGAGATGTAAGTATTATGTACTGCACTCCATTATAAATTGGTTGTAATTTTCTCTTGACAGTTTCTGAATTAAACTAGTTAGTATACAAATAATAATAACAATAATAATAACAAATGCCACAAAGCAAAAAACAAACTCAGTGTCTGAAGGTTAATGATTGCTCATGAAAGCCACAGAAATAAATTATCTGCCTAGGGACACTGTCACGTGATCCGCACAAAAGCTACAACAGCCAAAAATGTTTATGTAGAGGAAAAAAACACTGTCAGCGTCACAGCACCCTTCCCCCCACAGCTAAATTCGAGTCCCGAGCCAGCCAGCTGCTCCTGACTGCTTACATTAAACTAATTTGTGCTGCTACATTGCAGCTGCTTAATTTTTAGTCTCAACTTTATCACCAATAAGTGTTACAATAACAAGCGATATGATGGTATCTCTGAAGAAATATCCATCAACCCCCAAACAATGACAGCTTTACAAGAGTAGATTGCAGAAAAACAAAGAAAAACAAAAAAAAAAAAAAAAAAAAAACAAGAAGAAGAAGAAGAAGAACAAAAAGAAAGAACTCACCCCCACACTGCCTCTTTAAAAGGGGGGGAGGGGCGAACTTTTAGTGGAAAAGGCTTTAAAACGCTGCTTTGTTCCGAAGGCCATTCTGCAATGATGAAGGGGATGATTGAAAAGGTTAGCAAGCAGGGGAAGAGTTAACAAGTAAGATGTGCTTTTGCTAAGAGGGGGTGATTTGCAAGGTGAGAGCCTGAGCCGGCGGAGCAGGCAATTTCCTTACCACAATGCCATCTGTATTCTCCAGCTCACTGTCCTCCAAAGGTTTTGCGACGCCGCACTGCAGCTCCGGCCGAGTAATTCCTGAGTTGCTCCAAACAATATTCCATGGCCAGCCTGACATTAGAGCTCACACTATTAGTTGTTGTTCCCCATGTTTTTCGGTGTTATTTTCCTGGTCTGGGGCAAATGCACAGACTCTTCTTTGGGCAGAAAACAGACATTGACCTGAGCTGGTTTAAATCCCTGCCAAGTATGCAGGCCCTGTTTTTGCTACATTTTGGAATTTGGCTTGAGACCATATGTCAGACATTTATTTGTACTCAGAACTAGAATAGAGACCCAACAACCTCAAAAAAAAAAAAAAAAAAAAAAGGATTTTTTTTAAAAAAAAAAAAAAGCATTAGGAATGCCATGAAACTTTTCCATTATTAATTAATCTGGATATGACTAGTGTTTTCAGTTGCGATATCTCATTACACACTCTTCTGTTTACTGCTGGGGACAATTCAACTTTATCCCACTTAGTAATTACAAAAACAATTCCTTTGAAAGCAGAGGCAGAACACCCATGTCAGCTATTTACAGCATTTTTTAAATTCTGTGGTTTGCAGAATTAAGGTTCAAAGTGAGTGTGATTAACGTTGAGTAATAAAGTAGTTTTTCTTGTACAAAGATATCCTAAATTTGAAAAAGAAATGTTTACACTGGAATAATTTTCTCAGGGCAGCCAGGGGGTGAGGGTGATGGAGTAGAGATGTAGACCCACCCTTGTTTTTTCAACTTGACACCTTCACACCTCGTGGTCACAGCTCAAGTTCTAGCAGTATTTTCATTTTTTCAGACAGCTGGTAAATCAAGCTACAAGACTGACTTAGAGCACCATGGGACGCAGCCTGTTTCCGCGGGGTTCCGGTGAGGACCCTGGACTACAGCAGGGTGGTTGTGTTTGCAAGAGCTCTCCAGGGAAGATCCCAGGTGAAAAGACGTGGAGTCCCAAAAGCCCACCAGGATTATTCTTCTGCAGTGCCAAGTGGGTTACTGTGGCACAATGCAAGGCTTTCTCTCCACAGCGCTCACTGTGATGCCTTGTCTGCTGTCGGCCAGGCCTTGAGAATGCTGGAGACTCAGACTAAAAGCATCCCTGAGCTGGAGGTATGGCAGGGCTTGACTTGAGGGAGTGCCACTTTTCCAAAGGCACCTAACCATGGGCTGGTAGGGAAGGACTTAGGATGGAACACAGCAGCAAGGAGAGTCTCCAAAGAGCAGCTCGTTCGTTTTAGGAATGAAACTGGTAGCTGGGTTTGGTTGACCTTGAACAATGGCTGGAGTGTGGAGGCCACACATGCTGTCTAAACTTCCATTGTGAAATTAAGAATGAATTCGACAGGATCTATCTTAGCTCTTTGTTTTCTCAGAGCTGGACTTGCTTGGCCCGACAATCACAGTGAAGGCTGGTGGACAAGTTTATCCAGTTTCGGGAGAGGCAGGGCTGTATGTGGCCCTGTGACTCTCAGGGCACATGAGATGCACCCGGATGCACCCAGAGCAGTAGATATGCAGAGTCTCTTCACACAGCAAGCCCAAGACGGCAGAAAGGACTCCCTCCCAGCCAGAAATGATCTCACAGGGTAGAGCGGTTTGAATTGGCCATTTTCCTAAAAATCTCTAGAAACAAATTCTTTTCGACATAGCCCTTTCCAGAACAGAGCCAAATTGGAGTTGGCTCTGCAGATCCTGAGTGAGGATTGTAATTCAGGAAAAGTGGTTGTTTTTGTCTTGGTGGTACTCATGGGCAGCCAAGTGCTCTCAGTTCCTTCGTCGCGTCTCCGGACTTTCCTCAACCAAGCTACTCTCGTTAGCTGAAGGTAGGTAGGCCTTTCTGGCTGCTAGGTGTCAGAGAAGTGGAAATAGTTAATGAGGTATAGAGTGAGGTATGTTGTAATTTCTAATTCACAGCGTTAACACTTGTGCTCATAAGCCTGAAATGTATCATTTTTCACAGGAGCGAAGTGTGGAAAGTAATATATATGCTATAGCTAAGGAGGACAAATTCTGTTCTCCATTTTTACCTCCATCTTGGGACATAGGTCAAATTATGGAAGGATAAAAGCCAAATATATACCTATCTTTTTCAGTACTTTCTTTAATAAACTTATAAGTGATGAACAATCTATCTAAAATGAAAATGACATTACAATTAATTCTTACATATTTATTCAACAACGGAACTTAAAAAAAAATTGGGGTATAACTATGAATGTCCATTTTGTATCTGTGTATTCAAAGTGGTTGGGATAGATATATAG